TGAGCTTAGACCAGTTATTGGTCCATTGTGCGTCCCCCTTTAATTTCTACTGTCCCCATACCCCCATCTACCAGAGGCATTGGAAACTACTTGGGCGGGAAAATGGTTGCCTAATTTTGCTCAGAGGTCTCCTAGAGACCTAGATGATCTTATACGCGCCGTAAATCTACGACACGTGACCCACGGCTTAAAGTCCCTGCCGGAGGACTTGTTCCCTGAATTTTTCCGCCCTTAAAAATTCCACGACCTCCGCCAGGTTTGAACCCGCGTACCTTGAGTCATGAGGTGGGAACGTTACCCCTAGATTACGGAGGCCACTGTGTGCACTGCAGTAACTTACTGTGTTGTTTTGCCTTCTAAATTTAAATTAATGCATTTAGCCCCAGGTGTCATTATCTGACATTGTCTTTAGTCTGTGAATCGGTTTGAGAATTTTTCTAATCGTTTACAGATCTTACAGCTCCTAGACCGTTGGACCGGAACAGAAACGAAATATGAGTTCACTCACCGCCCCGAGCCAGAACCGAGCATTCGTCCATGTTTGAAGCACAGTAGTTACTGTGTACCAAGGCCGCGCTATAGCTCAAGCGGTTAGTCACTGGCTTCCCACCGCGGCGGCCCGGGTTCGATCCCGGGTCTGGTCAAGTGGAATTTGTGGTGGACAAAGTGGCGCTGGGGAGGTTTTCTCCGAGTACTTCGGTTTCCCCTGCCAATCTTCATTCCACCAATTGCTCCACAATCACCCTCACCTATCATCTGGGGCTGGTACAATAGGCCAGAAGTGGGCGCAGTACAGGGACTTAGTCCCACCCCACTAGCAATAAAAAATAATATGTACCACCTGCATTTTGGCCGCAGATTGTATTTATCGGATTGTTGTTGTGATGTACCGCATTTATACTGAGAGATAAGAGTTAACTTTTTAAATGTTTTTAGATGGGCTTTAGGCTTCATATTGTGAAATATATTTGCGGTGTATTATTGATGGTCTCGTTAATTATAAATTGTGCTTCAATCCGTAGAGCGTTTGGCTGTCACATGACACCCTCAGGAACTGCCCTTTCCTCCACCTATTTTTTTTATCGCTAGTGGGGTGGGACTAAATCCCTTGTACTGCGACCACTTCTGGCCTATTGTACCAGCACCAAATGATAGGTACGGGTGATTGTGGGGCAGTTGGTGGAATGAATATTGGCAGGGGAAACCGAAGTACTAGGAGAAAACCTGCCCCAGCTCTATTTTGTCCACCACAAATCCCACTCGACCAGACCCGAAATCGAAACCAGGCCGCCATGGTGGGAAGCCAGCAACTAACCGCTTGAACTATGGCGCGACGTCTTCTTCCACCTAACGGTGTTTCATACTTTCCAGAATGCGTTACCGTCGCAATGCTGAATTCCTACCATTGCCCCTGACATGCTAGCGGTTGGCTGGATCAGACGGAGCTGAACGCAAACGCCAAATACCGTGGCCGGTTACAGTCGAGCGATGTTGATTGCCACTTCGCTGTAAGAGGCTTCAGCCCTCAGTGGTGATGGTGATCAGCCACCTACACACACCGGAATGCGGACTTCAAGTGGTCGGGGAATGGCTTCGTCCCTCTATACCCCCTGGTCAGTCCCACCCAGTCGGTAGCGTTGCCACCATCCCCCCACTCGGACTTCACGCACCAAAAATTAGATTTTGTTGAGGAGAACTGTGTTTCAGATTAACATAACTCGTCCAAGGAGTCCTACCGTCTGTGGAAAAAAAATGATTACGGAACTGAATAAAAGGCCTGGGGCCTTAATGAGCTGGAAGGACCATTGAAAATAAAAACGGAAAATGTCGCCTAACTTCGCAAGGTGTGTAGGATGGTATGCAATTCAGTAGACCCTACACACTCAGAGATATTGGGTTTTCGGACTTTATTCATCGTCCTGGTTCTTAAGATAACTAAGAAAAACACGACGTTTCGGAAAGTGGATCTGTTTCCGTCCTCAGGTGAGGGAAAACACCTAGCTCTTTCTAAGGGACCCAACAGAATAGGTTTTCCCTCACCTGAGGACGGAAACAAATCCAGTTTCCGAAACGTCGTCTTTTAGTTATCTTAAAAACCAGGGCAATGGATAAAGTCCAAAAACCCAGTATATCTGTGTGTTATACACCATCGTCAGAACCCTATAGTAACTACCCTACACACTGTTTCAACCAATCTTCTATCCGCAGTGTGCAGTGCAAGCAGAAAAAAAAACATGGCGTCCAGCGTACAGAAGCGTGCGTTCTTGATGGAGCGTCACCTCAAAACAGAATCGTTTAAAGCAACCTACAGTGATTAGAGCCACCGTTTTCGCTACCCGGCAGCAGCAAAATCTGTGATGTGGAAGTTTGTGGAACAGTTCAGGCGAACACCGAAATGCTTCTGCCGGTCGGCTGTTGTTACAAAGACCCGTATAGCAGAAGTTAGAGTTGAGTGCAATCCGCACAGTAGTTGCTGCAAAGCAACGAAGACACTGCAACTGTTTTTGTACAACATGCGCGTTATTCAGCAGTTGTTACCACCGAAGTGTGAAAAACGACATCATTACTGTGAGTGGTGGTTTGCAAAGCTGGTGG